AAATATATGGTCGTCTAAAATCACTTTATCGTTCTGTTGAATGTTTTTCACTGCAAGTCCGGAGAAGAATCGTGACACAATTGGTGCTGCCAATCCTTGATTATGCTGATGTTATCTATGGAAACACCTCAGAGACAAATCTTCGACCTCTCACTATCTTATTCAACAGTCTCTGTAGATTTGTTCTGAGGTGTCCATATAGGACCCATCACTGCCTAATGTATGAGTCCTTGAATTGGCTGGCTCCCAAGTCCAGAAGGACATTTCATTCATTACTTTTAAATGTATCTATTTTAATTTTCCTCCGTACTTGAAACAATTTCTAATCCCTTTCAGTTCACAGTATAGCCTAAGGCATACTGATCATCTATTTTTCCTCACACCAAGAATCAGGAAAGAAATTGGTCGCCGTGCATTTAAATTTAACGCTCCATCAGACTGGAATAACCTACCTCGCTCACTTAGATCTATCACCTCTTTTCATATCTTTAAATCATCTCTACATACTCATTGTCAAACATCCTGCTCTTGCTTTTGATTTTCTTTCTCTGTTGGACTTAGTTTGTCTGGACCTGCTCTCCTCTTGCTTGCGCTCGTGTATCTACATGTATGTACTGTTCTGTACCTTGTGCCTTAATGTTGCGTACACTATGTGTGTAAGTCCTGTATAGTGTGTATGCATATATATATGCAGAGGTTTTCCTTTCTTTTTTCTTTTTTTATTATTATTATTATTATATATGTATTTTTTCTCTTCAGATTTTTTCTGATTGTGTAATACTGGCTGGTTGGTGGGTGGCTAGGCTTGGGGGAGCATTAAGTGTGAGTGATTGTGAGTGTGTGTGTGTTTGTGGTGTGGGTGTCTCTGTGTTTAAATGTTTGGTATTATGTTTTGGATTTACCTTTTATTTTGATTTTGTATTATGATGATTCATTTATGTTTTGTAAGGACCCCCTTGAAAATGAGATGATGCATCTTAAGGGGCTATCCTTGAAATAAATTACAAATTACAAATTTACACATTAATGCTGTCTCTCACCTCCAGGGCCTTGAGGAAGATGCTGCGCCACCGCGTCTTCATCATGCCAATCGCCCTTTCCACCACACACCGTGCTTTGGCATGATGCCGGTTGTATCGTACATGAACAGGGTTTTGCACCGGCTCCCTGAATGGGGTCATCAAGCTGATTGGTGCAGCCAGGCAGGGATACCCCCATCCCCAACAATACACCAGCCATGAGGGGGGTAGAGTTGGTGTACGTACAGAGAACTCCACCGCAGGACCCTGCATCGTGGACAGAGCCTGGAAGTCCTGTGAACAAGGGTGATGTATTGTGAATATGTCATTGTACTTGACATGGTACAGGACACATTATGTTGAAAATGCCCGTCTCAAACACTTCTGAAATGTGACATCACAAATTCAATTGTGATCATACAACATCTTTTAAAGTAATTACAATGTTTACAATCATGAGATAAGTAGAAATTCACACATGAACATAATGACGTTGCAGTTGTTGGGTGACAAATACAAATCACAGTAAGTGTGAGTCCTGGTCCACATTCACTTTCATTGTATGTGAGATGACTGCAACACCCTTTTCCTGAGAAACTCAAAAAGTTAACCCAACCTTCCAGAGGTATTAATGTCAGTAACTGATGACTGAATTATTTATTAGATCAACAATCCCTTAAGCAGTGTAAGCTGTACTAATACATTTCTGACTTTCATTTCTACCTGTATATGTATTAAGGAAGCGGCCTTTGTGATCACACACCACCAGCAGCTGAATGGAAGAGCTTCCTGTTGAACAACACAAAATGGAATTGATAACCACTCACATTGATATGGGATTAAAAACAGGTTTATATGAAGTGGTATTTTGTACGCAGGTTACCTGTTAAGGTAGTCTTCTTTGTTTGCTGCAGGTGGCTTGATTCTAATGTGTGTCCCATCAATGCTGCCAGCCGCTCTGCAGAAGGCATGAGAGCCAGCCAGGTGGGCAAAGCCTTCCCCTATTCCCTCTAGCTCATCAGCAGCAGGGAGATGAACCACCCTCTTCATGATGCTGATGATACTTCCAGCGACTCGATGAACAACATCATGAACCGTGGTGATGGGGACATCAAAGGCTCCTGACACCACCCGATACGAGGTGGCACTGGCCAGCCAGTATAAATATATCCCCACTTCGAGGTCTTTGCTCCAGCCATGGTCCTTGGTGTATCCCAGACACTCCACCAAGGCCTTCACTGTCTGCCTTGACAGACTGAAGTCTTTCTTTAGTTCTCCATCTCCCAGGTAGAGGCGGACAGTAGCGCTGTGGCCGTTCAATTAGAGGTATTGTCCTCACAGTCCACGCTGAGTAGGGACAGGATGTTTCAGGTGTCTGAACTTGTGTTTCCAAAGTGAAAAGTGTTTTATCATTCATGAAGTGTTTTTTGGTTACTGATATAATACTGTTGTCAGTTTGCTGTGAAATTCACTGTTTGAATTTAATTCAATGTTAAGAAATGAAGTGGTTACTAATAAACATGTCACACAATAGTATTTATTGACTTATCTGAGTGTATATACCTTCAATATTTGAGGTGAGGAGCTTACATTAACTTCCTTACATAATCCCAGTTTACCCTTACAAATATTGAATGTGTCCTATTTACATGGTCTTCATTTTGTAATAGGATAGCCAGAATGTTTCTCCTGTTGGCAGCTTGTCTCCTTCATGCCACATTGTGTGCATGAACCAATGACAAAAATGACATATTGTGATATTTATGTGTCTTACCACCTCAGATGTTCCTGCTTTTCTGACTGTACGATGCATGTGCCACATGTGGACAAGCTGCTGCAGTTACAGGGTCCTGTGCTGGCTCTCTTATTACATATTATTCATAGCTGTGTAAAAATTAAACCTGAATGCTTAAAAAGTATACTACAATGTTAATAGTATATTTCATAATGTAATGAAATAAATTACTACTAATATTAGCATGCTAATCATATTTCAACCACAGGTGTTATGTATAAATGACAGATGACAGATTGTTGACTGTTTTCTTTTAATTATGTTAATTTTTTTTTTACATGGTCGATAATCAAAGTCAGAGTAAAACACACAAACAAACTACCAATGAACAAGTTGATGAAAAGGCACCCAGTTTGATTAAAGCAGAATTACAAGAATGATGGAACGCAGCCTTCGCCAGATGAATGAGATCAGAACTCAAGAATGAAACATTACCAAGAAAACACACTAGAACAAAGAAACACAGGTATAGGAAATACAAAATAAAAACACTAGAAACTAAGCTAGGAGACAAACTGAAAATACAAACTACATAAGACCAAATCATGACAATACGTTGTTTTTAAGAGAGAGCCTCGTAGTTTAATTATTTCAAACTGATTGTATTTAATGAATTCATGTTTAAAATAACTTCAACAAAACATAAACTGAGAAGAAGACGAGCTTTTTATGGCTCATTAATTATTCATCATTAATGGATCATTGATTGTTAAGGTGTTCAAATATCGCTTAAGAAAAATGAGTGAAATTTGATTCTAATCATCAAGATGTTTTTTTAAATCTACAGTCACAGAGATTCAGTGGTTAAGTCCTCAGTGGGAGTTCTTCTCTCAGTTCTGATGCATGCAAACTGTTTCTCAGTGAAAGTGTGTGTTGGTGTCAGACTCACTGTGATCCTCTGCAGCCTCTTCTTCACTCAGAGAACAGGGACAGACTCTACCCCCCACAGTGTCCCAGCTGTGAGTCCCTGAGTTACACCAAACAGATCTGAGCTCTGTCATAAAGACAACCAGAGACATCAGGACGACACAGTCACAGAGATCTTCTCTGGTAACATCTTCAGTGGGAGTTTATCACCAGTGTAATGTATGGAAACATCCTCTCAGTGAAAGTGTGTGTGAAGGTGTGTATGTGTGTGTTAGTATCAGGATCAGAGAAGGACAGCTCTCCTCTGTTACAGTCCAGATTCACTCTGATCCTCTGAAGCTTCTTCTTCACTGAGAGATCAGTGGATGGATGTGGTGGGGTGTATGCTCTGTATTTACCATCTATGAACCATATTGACCATAATCCAGACTCTTTCTTTCCCTTCCTCTGTCCAGACTCTGCTAACACACCCAGTAACCAGTATGTACTGTCTCCAACCTGGACGTCCCAGCTGTGAGTCCCTGAGTTAAAGCCCTCAGAGCCCAGGACAGAGCAGTAAGTATCAAACCTCTCTGGATTATCAGGAAGCTGCTGTCTCTCTCCTCGTGTCACACAGGTCAGATCTTCAGACAGGATGAGTTCTGGATGAGCAGTGTTTGGGTCCAGAATGACCGGACTGTAGGAGACCATGTCCTTCATCTTGTTCCAGATGTTGAAGCTCAGGTTGCCCAGGTGTTTGGCCTGGTCTATCAGAGCTCCTGAGGGCAGCTGTGGATCCTCCAGCAGGGGGCGCTGCTGGACTCTTTCCACTGCAGCCTTGTAGTTTTTCAGGAATGAGACGTCTTCAGCTCTCAGCTCGTCCTCTGTGTCTCTGACTGTGTGTGAAAGAGCTGCTATCTCTCTGCTCAGAGCCTCCATCTCCTCCTTCATCCTCTGACTCTTCTGCTCCTCTTCCTCCCACAGTGCACACAGCCTGGCCTCCTCTTCCTCTTCTAGAAACTGGTGAAGCTTCTTAAACTGCTCCTTAATCTGCCTCTCTGTGTGTCGGGCCTGGACCTGAATGTGTTCTGCTGTTTGATCAAACTTCACTTTAACTTCTTTAAAAACATTTAACTTCTTCTTTACCGGCTCCAGAGTTTCCTGAAGTTTCTTCTTGTGTTGTCCAGCAGCTTCATCGATGGGTCTGAATCTGTGTCAGAGTGTTTTTCTGAATCTCTGCAGACGAGACACACCGGCTCCTGATGGTCCAGACAGAAGAGTTTGAGTTTCTCAGAGTGCAGACTGCAGAGATCCTCTGAAGCTCTCTGATCTCTCTCCTGCACAAAACTCTCACACAGGTTCTTTAAAGTAAAGTTAGGAGGTAAAATCCTTTGACTGTCTCCTCTTACAAACCGGACACTCCTTGTTCTCCTTCTCCTTCCAGCAGTCCTTCACACACTCTCTACAGAAGCTGTGACAGCAGGACAGGATGACTGGATCTTTAAAGATGTCGAGGCAGACCGGACAGCTCAGATCTTCCTCTAACTTGGACGCCATTTTATCTCAAGCTGAAGACGAGGAGACGAACAGCTGGGAGTCACTCCCTGTCACTCAAAGTTCCTTTAATCTGTATTCTTTGTTCTTTTTTTACGTCTTATCCGGTTTGTGGATTCAGTTTCAGGTAAAAGTCCAGATTAGTGAGGTTACGTTTGACACCGAGGCTTTGAAGCGTGTGTCGAGTAGGAGGCACATTTCTTTCTTTCCTCACTTCGAGTCTACGTCATTGATCTGTTTGTGTTTCGGTTTTGGATAAGAGGAAGTGAAACCCACTTGTCATGTCTCCTCGTGAGTTTGCGTTAGTTGGTTGTTGGGAGTTGTAGTTTTGGTTCTCTTTTTTTGGAGAAATGGAGCCTGTGAGAAAGAGGAAAACGTCTCCTGTTCGGGAGCATTTTGAGTTATAATCTCCCAATAAAGTAAACGTTAAAACCAGGCGCGGAGCCTGTGGGTCATTGCAGAGGGGGGGGACCAATAGTGGGCCCATAAACTGTCTATAGGCTATATAGCATATGCTGTAGCCTATATAGTAATATAGTATATCATTTATGGTATAATATCGGCTGTATGGAGATACAAGACGGGGCGGGACGAAGAGAAATGCCGCTGCAGATTACAAAGGGTGTTATTACAGTGACAGGGACTTATCAGTGAGTGACCTGCTGATGTTTAAACAGAACAAGTGCTGATATGTCTGTGCGCATATTCCACCGATTAAACAAGTAAAGCAGACTTCATTAACCGGAAGGGAAACCAAAGATAGAAGGCAACTACAGTTTAACATTCAGGGAAGATGGACGCTCATCTATGGAGGACTAAAAGTGCCAAAATGAAATATATAAATATATAATTAATTAAATCATTAAATGTGTCATCAATTATTTAATATTGGAAATAAATCAACAAATATGTAAATAAATATATAATTATTTAATTAATTAAATGCATGTGTTATTAAATAATTAAATAATTATTTAAATGTGTCATTAATTATTTAAAATTGGTAATAAATAATTTATGAAACACATCATTAATTAATGAAATGTTTAATTAATTATTTAAAATGTTAATTCATTTAATGTAAAACCACATTTAATTATTTTACTATTTATTTAATTATTTCACTATTTACTTTATCATTTCATGGTCCCTACACCAGCAGTGCATCATGAAATCATTTCATCTGTCACTGCTGCTCGTCAAAGTTTCTAACATCTGATTGGTTACTCAGCAAAGCAAGTCATGACAGATCGATCCCAGATAATGGATTGAAGCAGTGAATGCACTCCGATACGTTAGGTGACAGTGTTCATCCGTATATTCGTTTCGGTACGCTCTTCATTTGTCGCCGAAAAAATAGTTGCTGATGATACAAGTGAAGACGGATCAATCAGCTCACCATTGGTGCAAAGTGTTAGTGCAGGATGTCCAAAAGCTCTCCGGAGCACAGGTACAGCAGATACCTGTCGCTACACCACGTACACCTGTTCAAGGTAGGTAAGGATAGCCAGATGTGCTTCTAAACGAAGCTAGCTAGTCGGCAGAATGGTGTTAGCATGTCAGCAGCCCTGAAGTTGGACTTTTATCACTTCTTTCTTTTTAGTTGTTGTTTGCTTTCTTTATTACATTTATCAGGACTTAAGGATGTTTTAGCTGAGTGGCGATCATGGGAGCTGTAACATTTTCTCTGTGTTGCAGCCGAAGTAGCAAGGCTGTTTGCTCCATACAACAACAACAACAACAACAACAACAACAACAACAACAACAACAACAACAAGGCTGATAAAGTTCCAAGCATTCAGCTTAAAGCAGACCTTCTTGCTTCAGGACTTGGAGAACAAAGGTGATCTTTTCAGGTGCGTCTGAAACAAGAACTTTGACAAAGCACTGAGTCCTGACATTAGTAGGAGTTGTATTTTTAATTTCATTTTATCGCCATTTGTGTTCACCTATTTTACATATTAGACTCAAACTTTAATGACGTGATTTTCTTGCTGTGTATTTGTTATCACAGCTTAGCTTTTGGTATTTGAGTTAATGTGCATTATGTATATTTACAGGAAATGACAACGATCCCATGGTTGTAACAAACAAACTGATGGAGGTGTTTCCAAAGCTGCAAGAAGGGGAGGCTTTGAGTTTCTAAAAATTGCAGGATCTACTCGCAGTCGAAATCTTGGACTTCTTCAATGTCCCAGCACAGGATACACCCTTACCTATCTAAAAGATCCATCTCCAACAATTGGACAGGCTACAATTGACATACGCCCACTTCAACAGGACCTACCCATTGATTCAGTATGGAAATTTACACTGTCACCATTTGATACATAGTTCAAATAAATTGCACTGTGGAGTTTTAATCAATACTTAACAGATTTGTTGTTCTTAGGAAAGCTCGGGACATGCCTCTGGTCCAGAAGGAGGTTCCCTTCTCTGAAATGAAACTGCACCGAGCTAACTGGGATGGCTATGCACTTGTTAAAGATATATAAGAATTACATATTCATTTTTCAATAAGAAATGTCTTTTTAGTTTTTGTGCACACAGATGAGAGGAAATGACTATAACATTTTCTGAACTTCAAGGACCCCCATGCAGGAAACACATAGAGAAGGAGAGGGAGACCGTGGTGAGGAGAATGATAGAGAGCCACCCACTGACAGGGACAGCGTTCCAGTGAGGCCTGAAACATCTGTAGAGAGTGAAGTAGAACCAGTAGTGATTGAAAGTGAGAAGATTGATCTTAAAGAACTTGACAATGCTTTGTGTCATCACAGTAGGAATGCTATAATATTGTGCATGATTAGAACTCAGTCAATAGAAGAATAACACCTTTTAACCATAATAAATAACGACTAGAAGACATGCCATTATCACTGCTGTTTTATAGAACCTTAGAAACACTTCCTCATACAGTTCACAGACTCCACATCTAAGTGAAGCTTGGTTGACTTCAAACAGCAAATAAGCATCATTCTGATGAAAGTCAAGTAGAAATGGACTTTCCTAGTATCTATTAAAAGGCTGTTGGATTCTGTCACATTTTTCAGGTGTTCCTCCTTTTCTGTTGATTGGGAGTTTATCTGCATTTAACATGCAAAGTAGTTACATTTATTTTTCTTCTTGTCTAGACTGGAAGATTATTAAAGAACCAACTCTGGCTGCCCAAGTTTTCAAAGATAATCTACTAAGTGAACATGCAACCGGGAAGCCTCTTAAACTGAAAATGGATGTAAGGGAGCGTGAGGAGGACAGGGAACGGGCACTTCTCTCATTCTATAAACAGCAACAGGAATGGGCATGTCCACTTCATTGTACCCTTGATGGTTAGTAGAATAGAGTTCATAATATAAATATACCTGTTACATTAATATCAATTCTAATGTTTATATGGAATGGTATTAGTGGTTTACTGGTCCCATCAGGTCATTTGGCTGATATTAATCATTATATGATAATCTGCATTGGCTGTTCATGCTGTCTGCATAACAGTTCATGTGTTTGTCCTTCTTCCTAAAACTTGTCAAGCACTATAGTTGTTACAGCTTGTTTCTAGTGTGTTATTAACAGTATACAGTATTCTTTAAAAAAAAAAAAAAAGTTTTTAGGTGATGCTGCTGTTGGACAGGGAGTGATGCGGTACTTTCTGACAACAATAATATCCAAACTCCAGTTTGGATTCAGAATGAATCTTGGTAAATGTGCTACTATTCAGGTTAATGTCATGCATTTTAAAAGTTAATTGTTTGATTTGAAGCCCTGCTCTGTTGGTACTTACAGGAGGAGTGGGCCAAACTCTGCTATTTGAAGGTGAGCCTGACCATCTCGTTCCAGCTGCATCAGAGGTGCTTATTGAGAGCAACCTCTTCCGGGTTGCAGGAAGGATGATAGCCCACTCCTTTTTGCATGATGGCCCCCATGTCACCGGATTAAGTCCTGCTGTTATTCATGTACTGTTCAATGGGGACCCTGAAATGGCAACAATTGTTGTCGAGGACTGTCCTGATCTGCACATCAGGAGTATTATAACAATGGTATGTAACACACAAACAAAAAAACCTTTGCCTTGCAAAATTCCTGGACAGGTGTAATACCTTTTATGATCCAAACTGTAGCTTGAACTTGAAGAACTTACTCAGGAACAGAAGGACACAGTGTCAGATCTTTCCCTGTCTTGGGATCTCCCAGCAGTCACTAAAACGAATCAGAGGTGGCTACATAACAAACTTCTAGTACACGCGGTGAGTTTCTCCTGCTGATTTGGTGAATTCTCCTTCTGAAATTGAACTCATCCCCCATTTATCCATCAATTATGTTTCAAGCTAAGCAATTCTATCACGTCTGCATTTCTTTTGCACATCTGTATTTCAATCACAAACTAATTGGAACTGCAGGCAGGATTATTACAGAACCTAAACACTCTTTAACTTGTAATCTAGGCAGGGAGTGGTTTGGTGTTGCATATGAAAGGATATAATTGGGGAAAAATACATCTTAACCCTGTAAAGCCTGACACATGAAAAAATAACCAGAAATTCTATTCTTTTGGATTGAGATGTTTATTAAACCCTTAAACAAAATCCCCAAAATGTTTTTCTCATATCATGTTGTTTATGATATTTTTTTGTAGCACATTTGATACATCGGGCGTTTTTGGCAATTTTTTGCACACATTTCAGGAAGCTTTTCTCGTTGTTTTTTTTAACATAACACTTTTTACAGCCTTTTTATTTCATTTTGTGGTAGGCACAAAAACAGTTTCTGTCCTTGTTCAGGCAAAGATGCACCTTACACTTTCACAGTAGACATGTGAGAAGTGTGATTGCATCTCTGTCGGGTTTCCCATGTTGGAAAATGATCAATGCCATCCCTTCTCACATCAAGAGGCACACTGCAGCTTGGTCTTTTACGGGGTGGTGTTGGAGTCTCTTCTGGAGAGGATAGTGGTCTGCCACACCTGATTTTGGCCTTTCCTGCCAACCAAAGCCTGAAACCTTCAGAGGCACGGGTTTCTTCTTGGGTTTAGCTTCTTCTGGTCTCTTCTGTAGAGGTTCCACGCATTGATGACTGCCACTGTAACAGTGTGCCACCAGATGTACATGTACCATCTTCGGGATCTGAAGCTGAACTTGTAAAGTGCAGACAGCATATCAAGGAGATCAACACCTCCCATGAACTTGTTATATGTTTCAACAATGGCTGGTCTGGGAACCGTTATGTGAGTTTTGGATTTGCGATCCCAGCGTTTCACATTTCCCACAGGTTCAGTGCCAACAAAAGAGGAAATCAGGTTCACTGCTTTGTTGTCGTACCATCTTACAACGATGTTGTTTTCCTGGTTCACTCTGAAGTCCATTGACCCTCTTCCATTTTCTTCAATTCTTTTTCATCCATCATGGTGCAGTGTTTCATCCTGTTCATCCGGATCGTGCCAACGTAGTGGATTCCTCTTTCTTTTAGGTGTTGCACCAGGGGAACTGATGTGAAGTAGTTGTCTGCAAAGACCTTGTGATTTTTTCCTGCTGGAAGTGTTGATGTCATTTTCAGCACAACTTCTCCTGTAACACCTACTTCAGACTTTTCTCTGTCTGGATTTTCTGCACCTTGACAAATATCAAAGTCATAAAGAAAGCCACTTTGTCCAGCACGTCCCCACATTTTGAAACCCCATTTGTGAGGTTTTGCAGGCATGTAGACACGTAGATGAGATTTTCCCTTAAATGGCACCATGATTTCATCAACTGCATGGCTTTCTTCAGGAGGTATGTAGAGAAACTGTTCTCACAGTTTTTGTAACCATGGCCTGAGCTTCCACAGTTTATCTTTCTTTGCATCATCAGACACACTGAGGTTGTCCTGAAAGTGAATCACTGTCAGCAATTTCAGAAACCGATCTCGAGACATCACATGACAAACTGCAGGGAGCCTTGTCTCCATCTCCCAATAGGCTCTCACAGAGGACATCTGTACTAACCCCATATGAATGTACATGCCTAGAACCTGCTCTATTTCCTTGGCAGTTGTGTTTACTGACTTGCCCTCTTTTTGTACACTGTACAGGTTTGTTTGTTCTGCAGTTTCCTCTAGCATTTCATCAGTGACAAACTGTTTGAAATACATGTATGGTGTCCAGTCACACCTGTCTTCTGTGCCTTCCTCAACACTTGCAATGAAATTGATAGATGGAGCTTGATAATTTATTTTTCTCCATCTGTATTCTTTCCTTTGTGCATTGGCCTTCACTGACTCCTTTCTGATTGTGTCCTGTGTTGTTGTTGGGATCTCAACGTCTGTGCTTGTCTGGGCTACACTTTCCTCTTGATAGTCTTCCTCATCACTGCTATCTGAACTTCCATCATCATGCATGGCCTGAGGAGTCCATTCTTCCTCATCCTCCTCATCATCTTCCCCTAACTGCTCTATGTCACTTGAATTGCCATCCATTATCATGTTGATGACATTTTCAATGTACGTTTGTTTTCTCACTTCTTCCTCTATTCTTTTTGACATCTAAAAATACACACATAACAAATTGGTCAATATAGCGTAGCGATTATGATTTCAGAGGAATTGTTATTGTGAAAATACCCAAAATGTATTTTAAAATGGCATTTCAGTCATTAATTAGATTTATTAAATCATTAAAATAGTGTGTGTTTGTATATTGGTAGGCATGATGTAGATTACATTACAAAAATTTAGAATGACCGTTCAAGGATAAAGCACCTTATATACCTGCAGTATCAAATGTGATACACACATTTTTAACACGATTTAACTGTAATATGAAGAATGAATTATTAAGTAATGATGCATTGTTTTAATACAGAATATACTCCTATTAAAGAATGAGTAACAATATAAATGTTATTCTTACTGTAACTTCTTGAAAATTAGCAAA